CCCAGCGACTTAACACTGCTTTTGTGCTGCAGGGACACATATCTTGAACAGGGATCTACAGTGCTACTAATATGATTGACGGCCAGTTCACACCAAGAACGAAACATTAAATTGAAGCAAATCTACAAGCTTGGTGCTATTTAGCAACTCTTGGTCTTGGGACTGTGTTTGTGTACCTGCAGTGAGGTGTTATGGATTGGCGCCGTGGATGTGATGCAGGGTGACGCTACTGTTGTTACTGTTGTCACTGTTGTCACTGGCTTCAAAGTTGTGAGCAAGAGAGAGTCTGCCTTAATGAACTGCGGCTGCAACAAAACCTGCATGCAAAAACACATGAAGAATGCTCAACGCACACAAAGCTTATTCGGCTGTCAAATGTAAATTCCTGTGCATGTGGGCATCAATAAAAGCACTTACCGGAAGCTGCTGAACCTGAGGGGAGATGGTCTGTGTGGGAGGGCTGGAGGAGGTGGTCAGGATTGGTGAAGCCGTGAGGCTCTGCACATGGGCTTGGATGGCCATTGGCTGCACATTCTGTAGAGAGGCGGGGAGACTCGGGATTGGCTGAGGGGAGCTCTGCTGAGTGACCGCTGCAATAACCAGATCACGAGAGGACAGAAAGGCAAGAACTTCATTAAACATGCTTTGCAGAAATCTCCAGTTCATTCTGATGGGGTGTTCGGTAAAGCTCGTGTCTGTAATAATAACAGTAAGGCAGCGGAGGATCATTTAGGCTAACTATAGAAATACATAACTCAATTCACCGTGACTGAACTTTGATCTACGCTAGTGTGATGTTGTATTCTCTCTTTGGCCTGGTAGAGACATCACCTAAGCCTTGATAAGCAGAATGAAACAAAATGATAAAAGCACATACAAAGAAAGAATGTGGGCTGGGCAGCTTTACACACGAGCACAATGTATGGTAAAAGGTCACTGGGTTTCCAGGACTGACAACAGTGACTTCACCGTCTGCACCTTGAACTCAAATTGCCTTTTCATAACAGATTACAGCTACCTGAAGAGAACGGCTGGCATATCACTGATCAAAGGTGATGGATTTTATAGTCTTAGTAATGCAATCATGTTGGAGTTAGATCGATGACAGCATTTGATCTAGTTACTATAAAGTTTTTCACGAGTCAAACTGACTGAATGAGTTTCAGTTGAAAGTAGGGATGTAACGATTCACTCAACTCACGATTCACGATTATTATTTTTTTACAAAATGAGATTTAAGACAAA